CAGGGATCAGCTTTCCCAGGATTTCAACTCAACTGCTATTATTTCATTACATAATCTGTGTGCACTTCAATATCCTTTCCCACAGCTACAGCTACAATATCACCTGCCTACTTGACAGGAGCTGCTGCTTCCCTAAACAGCTACATGGCAACCAACGCCTCTGGCAGGAGAAGCAGCACGTGGCAATGAATCCTTACGCTGGTGGAATGGTAACTGCAAGCAGCTCAAGCAGCCCAGTCTGGACTGACTGGATCGCTACTGTTTAGCAAACAGTTAAACTTATTCACAGGAGATCAAGCAGATCTACACTGCAATTTGGCACAAGCTTTATAACTCAGCTGGATGAGCCATCATCTCCCAAGTGCCACAGACTGAGCAGGTATGAGGTGATGCTGCTCTCCTTTTCCTACCTCCCAGGAGCTCCCGGGTGGTGGCAGTGGCAGTCTGTGCCCTCACTTCCTTACCGTGACTCCCGTTCCTTATTAATTTCCTTCTTGATCTGCTCGCTAGGCAGATCTGATATTTTGATCTCCTGTACTCTGGCAGGAAGTCCACTGCTTCAGCACAACTTATCATGCACAGACACCTAAAGCAGGCTGCAAGGCCCACACACAGTCCCAGGCATTTCAGAAGGGGTATCTCTGAGGGGAAAATGTGGAAAGTAATCCTCAAGAGGACAACACACTACACTTCCTACCTGCACTGTCTGGTTGCTTACTACACAGGCCCCAAATAATTTCCCTGTGACAAGGGTGGGAAGAGGGGTAAAAATAAGAAAACTGCCAATTAATCCTGAAATCACTGAAGCAAGTGGAGCACTAGCACCAGTGCCACTGAAACACTGAGCACCTAGAGAAGAGCACAGTTAGTTCTGTGTGGCTCCAAGCCCCAACACGGCTTTGGTTGCTTTGTAAACAATATCACCAGCACAAACCATGCTATCTAACAAAGTTAAGGAAACGATTGCAATCAGCTCTCAAAACAGACTCTTTCATAATTGAAATACTGCAGAGCAGAAGCCAGCATTATAATAATAATAAATGGGTGCTGCTGAGTTAGAGAAGAGCAAAATCTCTTGTCAGGAAATCCCATTTACACAAGCATGGGCAATGTCTGTAGGAGCAGTTATCTTACTGTTTGCACTAGCATGTTCACTGTAGGACCTGGATAATTTTCGTTAGTTCCTCTTGTTTTAACTTGCAATGGACTTTTCTGCTAAGTTGAAGAAAGTTCAGAGACTAGCTACAGGAATGACTGGAGGACTGCAAAAACTCAGATAACACTGAAAATAGCACAAGCTATATCAGTAGTTTGCATCCAGCAGCAGGTTAAGGGAGGAGTTGATTGCTCTATGGAAAACAGACTTTTGGTAATGGGATCTTTAGCATGGCATTCAAAGCTGTAAACAAATCCAATAACTGGAAGCTGACGTTAAAAAAGTCAGACTAAAAATAAGGGAGAACATTTTCAATAGCCAAGGTAATTAACCTTCAGTGATGGTTTTGCTAGATTTTCCATTCCTGGAAACATTAAAAAATAGGATGGAGGTTTTTCTAAATTACTTCCTAAATGCCCGGCATGGTAAAACAGAACAAGATGCTGCTAAAAAAAGCTAAAAATCACCTTCATCCAGGTTTAGGCCCTTCTTGGTGACAATGAACTCCTGTCCTCCCAGCTTAACCTGGGTTGGTTAGGAGCCCTTGGAGGGCCATTGGTATAACCCTGTCAGCTAGCCAGGAGACAAAACTTATATGTAATTTCTGAAGTTTCCTGCCACACCATGTGTCAGGAAAGAACACTTCTTGCACTTCCCAATGTGTCCTATGGAGCTGAGCTCTGCCCTTTTCCATCAGAGCCACTCCTCTGCACCTTGTCTGTCCTTCCCACATATGCTCTTGTTTCCAAAGATATTATCTGCACCCTCCACATTTGTTTTCCTTTACCACCACCACCTCTCCCTTGCTTTTTCCTGCCCTAATTCCCCTGAGGGGCTTGCCAAGCCCCCAGGACCAGAAGGGAGAAGTTTGGAGAACTGGAGAGACCTGCTTGCTGCGCTGAGCACTGTCCAGGCAGCGGGGAGAGGTGAGGCCCCGGCAGGAGCAGTGAGCAGGGGGATGCTGCTTGCAGGGAGTGACCCCATTCACACGTGGTCAGAAGGGTCCTTCAGGGATACCACAGGAGATGTGCCATATTACAGCCCAACCCTAGGCCCAGATTTACCATGCATCTATGGGCAAGGCAATTCACCCTCCTGCTTCAGCATCCCCCTCTACAGAACCACAGTAATTATATTTATCCTGTTACTGCACAGGAACATTTTCAGGATCAATTAGCTTAGTGTTCATGCAAAGCTCTGTGGACAGAAGCCTCAATACAAGTAGTAAGTACTATTATTATTACTGCACTTCAGATGGCTACAGCACTGGCATTTTCCAGGCATGCACCATTAACAATTTACTAAGATAAATGGCCCAGGAACCTGAAAATGCATTTATGACAACTACCTCCTGCTTACCAGCACACATTCAGCCAAGTAAATGACACCTCATTGCTCAATGTGTAGCTATGGTAACATTTCTATCTCATATATTGAAGTGCACACACACATAACACACACGTGGAGCTGGAGGGAAGCCAGGCTACCTCATTTAGTGACATGCAAACATCGAGCCAGGGAACTTTCCCAGCCTCCAAAAGCTGAGCTGCCCCAAGGAGCTGGGGATGAAGAGCAAGCAACACGCTCCATGCCCAGCGGGAAAGGCTTGGCTAATGGCAGGCTGCACTGCACAGCCAGAGCCCCACCAGGACCTCCAAGGACTTACTTGAGAGCAGTTTTGTAGTGGTAGATGGCCTCGGCATTACGGCCCTGGTCTTTCAGAAAATTGGCATAGTTGTAGTGCACCTTGGCGTTGTGGGGCAGGGTCTTCACTCCTGAGCTGCGAAGAGGAACAGAAGCAGGACTGTGTTAGCAGCCAGGTTATCTCACCTTCCCCAGGGTCTGCCTTCTTCTCACGCCCCCTTTTTCTGAGAAGTCTGCTTGGATTTTGAGCTCCTTGTCATCTCCTGTGCACTTATGCCAACACAACTCATTCATGTTGCAACCCCAAGCTTGCCCCACACACTAGCACACCACATGTCCCAGGCTGACATACATGTATGGCAGTGATTTATCTCACGCTGGCCACCTCTAACACCACTGTCACTGTGTGTCACTGTGGGCACCTCTAACACCAACACTGCAACACACTCTGTGGCCAGATGCTGTTGCATTTCAAACTCTGAATTATTCATAGAATCATGGAATGCCAGGTTGGAAGGGATCTCAAGGATCATCTTGTCCTTTGTAGGTAAGAAAATGGTTTAGATGAGATGGCCCAGCACCTTGTCAAACTGATTATTGAAAGTGTCCAGTGTTAAAGTATGGAATTGAAGATCCTAAAAAGGCTAATATTTAGAGGGGAAAGTATGTAGTACCTTCCATGATATAGCCATCACAGGCTCCCTGCTTAAACTTGAGTGTCATGAAGTGTTTTATGAAAATCTTGATTTAAATCTGTCAGCCTGAGGTACCAGCAGGAAGGTACCTTTTCCATACCCATCAGCCATGGCAGGCTGCACTGCACAGCCAGAGCCCCACCAGGACCTCCAAGGACTTACTTGAGAGCAGTTTTGTAGTGGTAGATGGCCTCGGCATTACGGCCCTGGTCTTTCAGAAAATTGGCATAGTTGTAGTGCACCTTGGCGTTGTGGGGCAGGGTCTTCACTCCTGAGCTGCGAAGAGGAACAGAAGCAGGACTGTGTTAGCAGCCAGGTTATCTCACCTTCCCCAGGGTCTGCCTTCTTCTCACGCCCCCTTTTTCTGAGAAGTCTGCTTGGATTTTGAGCTCCTTGTCATCTCCTGTGCACTTATGCCAACACAACTCATTCATGTTGCAACCCCAAGCTTGCCCCACACACTAGCACACCACATGTCCCAGGCTGACATACATGTATGGCAGTGATTTATCTCACGCTGGCCACCTCTAACACCACTGTCACTGTGTGTCACTGTGGGCACCTCTAACACCAACACTGCAACACACTCTGTGGCCAGATGCTGTTGCATTTCAAACTCTGAATTATTCATAGAATCATGGAATGCCAGGTTGGAAGGGATCTCAAGGATCATCTTGTCCTTTGTAGGTGAGAAAATGGTTTAGATGAGATGGCCCAGCACCTTGTCAAACTGATTATTGAAAGTGTCCAGTGTTAAAGTATGGAATTGAAGATCCTAAAAAGGCTAATATTTAGAGGGGAAAGTATGTAGTACCTTCCATGATATAGCCATCACAGGCTCCCTGCTTAAACTTGAGTGTCATGAAGTGTTTTATGAAAATCTTGATTTAAATCTGTCAGCCTGAGGTACCAGCAGGAAGGTACCTTTTCCATACCCATCAGCCACTAGAGAGGATGCAGAGTATACTCTGGGTACTCAGCAGCATGTATGCACCACTTAGCGCTGAGCAGAGTATGGCCCAGAGGTGAGGGCTAATGGGGCTCTCACCTTTAGCTGGCAAGTTGTATATTCTCATGTTATAACATATGACTGTGAGCACAGGGCTGCACAGTCACCCCATCCCTCCCCTTCATCTCCCCTGCCACGTAGTGTGGACTCAACAGTTGGAATTAATAATGAGGGCACAAAGAGGAAAGGAGAAGAGCAAGCATATGTTTATTTACTTAATTGAGAGCACAGAAAGCAAGGTACACCTTGCACAGCTAGAGGAAATGCCATTTCAAGGTTAAAGAGAGAAAGAAATCACAGTAGCACGTACACCATGGAAACACTTCCCCTGCAAGAATCCAGAGAAGTCAGTACTCCGTTTACAGAGCCCATAAATATGGGCTCTCTAAGGTAATAGGAAGTAAGGATGGATGAATCTGTTCATGTACAAGCAGACAGAGTGCTGTTTCTTGCTCACAAGCAGATCCCTGCCAGCTGCTGCCTTTTCTCCCCCCATCATCTCTGACCCTCCTACCTCAAGTAGGAAAAGCAGGGATTAGGAATTGTCAAAGTCTTGCTGCTTCACCTTGTCTGTCTCTCCTGTTTAACGTTGGTGGGCAGGGCAGCTGATCACAATGAGTCAGGGCCATGCAAAACCCCTACTTATGGGGTGTACACCCTTTCCCATGGGGTGCACATCCTCTCCCATGGGGAGAACACACCCACAGCTGTGGAAACCCTTTGTTGGGGATTTCACTGTAAATTGGTGCTAGAGAATCATAGTGGCAAATAAGGTATCTTTTTGGTTATCTGCAGCCAGTGGTATCAGAAGTGGCACTAATGCCTACTTGTTAGAGCTTCCAGTGCTTCACCCACGGCTGCTTTACAGAGTTCAGCACAACACAGCCACAGTTTGCCTACAGACATTAAAAATACACCTTGCACTTGGCTTCCTAATCATCAGGTATTTTCCAAATTACTTACTGGGAGCACTACAGGAAAAAGACATTTTGTGACTAATCGCTGAATTAAATCAGTTAATTGATGCTATTCTTAAGAGAATGATTTTCTATATTGGTTTTCACAAAGATATACTGCACCAGCAGCAAGTAATGTGTGACTGCTATAACTGTGTTAATTTCCATTGGCCTTGGGAGCTATTAACTACACACTTACAACCTCTGGGCATTACTGGAATATTAATTCTTATACAGAAAGCGTTTCATTACATCAGTGCCAGCGTTACAGGCAGAGACATGGACAGGCACTCATAGCTGCTGCTCTCTCAGAGCTCTGTGCAGTGGTTGCTGGCTGTGCTGCAGCCCCCGCTGAAACAGAGCACACTGAGTTAACGGTGAGGAGCACATTACACATGCACACATACCTCAGCTATAATGAGCTACAGTTTGAAAAACAAGATGCATATGTTTAAATATTTTTAATTCCGGACTGTTTCCCTTTAAGTGGAATTTATTATTAATCCTGCTGGCCCCATTTATTAAAACGTCACTAATAAAACTCCTTTCATCTGCATGCTTTGGGTGGGGGGCGACATGAGAAAGGCAGGAACTGGCTCAGGTTGTTATGATGCTCTCTTCTGCATCACACTGCTCGCACTCCCTGACCTATTTATTCTCCTTGCACGGGCGGGGAGGGGGGTGTTTCATTTTGCAAATGCACGTAGTGATGACTGAGGCTTCCTGAAGCCTCTGTGCTGTGGGAGGTAGTAGCAAACACAGGGCTGGACCCAGAGGAGATTTTTTTTAGGAGAGGGGATTTTTTAAGGAGAGTTTAGGCAAATGCTTCTGCTAATTGATTCTTGATTCAAGAATGCTGCTTGCTCGTTGACAAGGGAAACAATAATGTCCACAACGAAAGTCCAGCAGGAAAAGGGTGGGGTATAAATAACAAAGGAGAACACAATGTTTTTCCATTTCGGCTTCCCGCAAGCCCCCAGTCTCTCACAATTTCAATCTAATTTTCCAACGTGCTTTTCCAAACTCTCCTGTTTCTCTCTTCCCCGGCTCAGCACACACGTGCCCTTCCGAAAACCTATGGCACCCATCTGGCTCCAGCCCGAAACTAGCCCACCGAGAATCGACGTCACTTCTCCAGAGGATTTCCTTCCCTCTTGACTTCTACAACAGCAGTAAGTGACATACATGGAAAATAAACAATAGGCAAACCCTTTCATGTTGTACGTGTACCCTTTTACAATAGGCAAACACTTTCTCTCCATGGAAATGCAAAAGCCTGTTAGCCATAAATCAGAGAAATAAATTGCCCCCGGTACTTCCCAACCACAGATGCCAGCATTACCCAAATCCCACTTCAGTTGGGAAGGTCTCCTGTGCTCCCCTCTGTTGTTTTCCTAAGTGCATGTTCTGTTCTGCAAAGTGACTGGGTGCAGGGCAGAGGCTTCATTGATTTTCTGTGATTTCCATATGAAAAGTGCTCAGTTTACAAGGAAATGAGGCCACTCCTGCCTCAGCAGGAGCCCAGGGAGAGTGATGGGGTCTTCTCTGCTTTGAGGATCATTATCATCAATAAAGGCTCTCTACAGCCAAGTATTCTCTGGATGACACAAACAGCCGCTTTCCTTGGCCTCCTACCCTTGTATTGATTTTCACAGATATCAATGCTGGGCCCTATTAAGCCATTCTGTAGAAGATACACGAAATGCAATCGGACTTGCTCTCCTCGGCTGAGCTACCTTTCAGAATTAACAAAAGCACCCAGCAGTAAATGCCACATTTGGGGCTGGGTTGGCTTGTGCAAATGACTGAAGTCAGCAGACCTGGCTTGGGAGGGAAAACTGCTGACAAAGAAAGTGCTACTTTCATACAGTCTCTTTGCTGGTTACAACTGCATTCCCAGGCACCGTCACAGACGTGGGCAGTGCACGCAGATGCTTTCCAGGAGCAACAGGAAACGTGGCAGCCTGACAAACCTTGCAACACTCAGTAGTACAGCGGATGCAGAGGTCAGCCCACAGCCCTCACCTCCTTCTCTCTGGCTTCAGATATCAACACTGACTACGGTTGGAGCCTCACCCCCTGGCCCGTGCATTTGCTCTATAGGATAGTTCCTCAAATATTTAACAAATAATCCCTTCCTGCCCACCTGCCAACACAGTAAAACAAACTGCCTGGAGATTCAAGAGATCTGTTGGAATAATATGCCTCAGACATCTAGATCTCTATACATCTGGCCACTTCTTGTGGTTCATTTGCTTCTCATTTAGTCCCAGCACACACGCTTGTGCACCTATGTATCAATGCATCACTCCCTCAGACAGCAGCATCCTCCCCCATACTGCCCCTCCCAGCCAGGACACAGCAGGATTTCTGCATCCACAAAACTTGGCCCCTGGGCTGGAGACTGGCAGGTTGTTCCAAAGATGGCAACTGTGCTGCTGCACAATTGTCAAAGTGGAGTGAGCCTGGAGAACAGGACAAAATGGGGAACAAGCACAAAACTGGTAACATGCCGAGTACACAAATGTCTCCTGGACCACTGTAGAGAAATCATCTGTAACAGAACAGGTCTCAGCTAACGGCATGGAGACAGATTGACTCTGAAGAAACACTTCCAAGCGAGGGGAGTAATGGGAAGTAGAGGTGAAGGGAAAAAAAAGGGAGGGGGGAAGTAATTAATTAAAGCAGCAACTGGAGAAAGAAGAATGAAGAACTAGGAGTGAGAGCAAAGATTCTCTCAGCACATACTTCTTAAAAAAAATAAATCAACACACAGAGACTACCAAGTAGGTTGATTTATGTCTCCTTTCCCACATCCATAGATTTATCCTGTTTCCTTATTATTTTCCCTCATACTTCTTTACTGTTCCTTATCTCTTCCTGCTCTGTCCTTTCTGATTTATTGCTGTTGCACATGCCTCCATCCACTTCTCCCTCCTCATCAGCCTATATACAACCTCCTCCTTCTGCCCCAAAGAAGAGATACCCCTCTCCTGGGATGGTATTATATTGTTGCTGTACTATCCTTCTTTTGCATTTTCTTCTCATCAACAAGAAAAGTCCTACTGTATTACAGACTCATGAGACATATGTAACACCTATCAAAGATCTTAAAAGAACAACAAAAAAGCCAATATGGTTAAACAGCATAGGAAAGATTGCTATAAGAAATCAAAAACACTATTAAAAAAAGTGTCACAACTATAGAAGTAAAAAGAAAAAGCGCATCAACTTAATCAAGTTAAACACAAACCATAATTAGGCAGACCAAGAGATTTAAGGAAAAACTTGCTGAAACCATCAAAGCTAATAATGGAATACATCAGATATAGAAAACATGCCAAAGATCCCCTAAGGCAAATAAGATGATGGAGGTCTGAAAGTAGTGCTTGAAGAAGAGAAGACCACAGCAGAAAAGCTAAATGGATTATCTGCACCAGTGTTCAGTACAGGGGGAACTGAAGGAGGCCTTTCTTTACAGGGGCAAGTCTGCAGTGTTCAGTACAGGGGGAACTGAAGGAGGCTGCCACATGAGAGCCTTTCTTTACAGGGGCAAGTCCAAAGCACTGTCTCAAATAGAAGTGACAGTAAAAGAGGCTTTAAAACAAATCAACACCAAGAACAGATGTAAATCCATTTGACCTGGTAGCATGCATCCAAAGGTAATAAAATGTGAAGCTGCTATTAGCTGCAGAATGCAGCCTGTCATTTCAATAATGCTGGCACTAGAGAAATGGGAGGTGATGAACACGATGTCATTTGGCTTCAGGGGAAGGATCTGAGGGTCAACAGACCTGCAAGTCTGATTTCCACTCCAGGTAATTTGGGGAAAACCATAACAAAGACTAGTTCTAGCTAACTGCTGGATAACTACAATCCAACAGAGAAGAATCAGTCTTGTATAACGCAGAAATAAATCGGTTGGGAAGACCTGTTGTTCTCTGATAGACTCAACAGGTATGTGGTACTAAAACTGAGGAAAGCTTTTATGAAAAATCCAAACATAGCCCAGTCAGAATAGCCTACATCAATGCAGTGCACTTAAATGTTGAAAAAGGCTTTTGATAAAATCCCTCACTAAAGACTTCCAATTTCTTAAAGGCATCAAAGTGTAAGAGGGAAGGTCCTTTCCTGAATCAATACCTAGTTAAAGGCAGCAAGCAAAGAGCCTGAATGTGAACAGTTTTTACAACTGGAGAAGACTGAAAGCAGGATTCCAAAGAGACATGCAGTGGCATCTGGGCTGCTTCACTTGTTCACAACAGATCTCGAAACGGGAGCAAACAGGGAGGTGTCATGTTTGCTGATGTCAGCAATGAGAAGCCTGCTGCAGGAATTAAAGCTAGCGACAGATTGTTGCAGAGGGATCTCACAGTATTGAAGGCTGGGCAAGAAGATGGCAAACAAAATGCAATTCCAGTAGAGGCACAAACATCAGAGGGTGTGCACACACACACTCTAAATCTGCATAGATCTGCATGCAGATTGATACCTCTAAATTAGGTGCTTCCACTCACAATAGGTATCTTGGAGTTTGTGTGGACAGTGCTGTGAAAATATCTCCCACTGCTTAGGAAAGGCCACAAAAGGCAAGTGGTAGATCAGGACTTAGTAGGAGAAAAGAACAAAAACCAGAAAGAATTCCAAAGTAACTGTGCTGCAAATAATGTCTTGGAAGGTGATTCTGGTCTCCTTTTCAAAAGGACAGTTTAGAGTTTGAAAGCACCCACCAAAGACTGACAAGCAGGATCAGAAATGCTGAAACAGCTTCCATATGAGGAGAGGTCAAAACAGCAAACTTCAGTGTGAAAAAGACTACAACCTCACGTGAGGGAATAGGGGTAGAGGCTTGGAAGGCAGAGGACAAGTAATAAACTGATGGTTACTCACTGCTCATTGAGCACAGCAAAACTAGGGGACAGCAAACAAGATGATCAGGCAGAAGGCTCAGAGGGCACAGAAGGGAAATCTTAAGTGTGTACACTGTGTAATTTAACAACAGAGCCCAGTGCACAGGATGCTGCAGAAGCCAAAACTATAAATAGATTTGAAAAAGCAGTCAGAGACATTAAGGGAAGAGAAGTCCATCAGTGGCTGTTAAAAATAAAAAAGCAAGTAACTCCTGACTCAGGAAGTCTTTAAACTGCAGATTACTGCAATCTGGGAAAGGACTGCAGTGAAGCATCACTGTTGCTGGCCCTGTTCTTACATTGCTTCTCTAGGTATCTGTTGCTGGTTGCTCTCGGGGGAAGGGACATGACATAAGGTGACCCAGCAGGAGCACACCTATGTTCTACCTTCTCCTCAGAAGCTGAGGGCAGATCTCTCTCTTCGAATTGCTCCCAAAAGACCCATGCTGAAGGGTGAGCCATCTTGACCCAAGCCATTGAGCCCTGTGTACTACCCTGGGCAAAACCAAATCCTTCTGTTGAGCCAAGGTGTATTAGCTCCAGCTCAGTGTTGCTTTGAAGCAGTGGCACAGTTTCTGAATTTGAGCTGGCTTGTAGGCTGCTACCTGCTTTGAACAGAGGAAGCCTGGACAGAAGTCTATTTGTATCCAGCTAGAGCAGACATAACCTTATCCTTCTCTGCTGTAACAGAACCCTGGCACCGCATATGATCCCAGAGTGCTCTTAAGCAGGAGGAGATGTCCTCCTGTCATCCACTCCAGATTGACTTCAGTGCTCTTAAACACTGGTGAACACAACTGTACGCAACGCGGTACCAGATGATGCCTGCAACTCGGTATATGGAATTGCCATCATTCCACTCCACTTTCAACAAGACAGTTGTCCAACTTGGAAAGGTGTCTGGCTTTCCTCCGAGCAGCCACTGTTAACCAGAAGGGTTTGGAGTGGAGGTGTGCTTCCCAGGGGTTGCTGTGCGAGCCCAGACTGGTCGGTCACCATGGCTGCTATTGTTTAAACAGCAAACAGTGCTTCAAGGAGACATGCAATGAATCATGTTGGAGCAAAGAAACCCCTATTACAGATATTATTTTTTTTTCAAAAAAAGAATTGCATGAACAGAGCTCATTGGAGACTTCAGTAGTGTTTCCTGAAGACCAAAAGTGTAGGCATAAAAAATAATTTCATACCCTTTAGCGCTGTGTAAATTAAACTTTGCTCTGGCCAATAAGTTAGAAAATAAAGCTAAGCAACCTGTGTGCAGATCACCTGCGTGGCAGCAATTACTTCACAATTAGACAACTGTTGAAAGCAGCTGGAGGCAAATGCAATACATTTGCTAGCAAAATACAAAATGAAACCGTCTGTTTCAGTGCAAAAAAAAAAATTACAGAAATGAGGTTGTAAAGAGAGCTGCTTGGCAAAGAGTAATCAAATAAAATGAAATATGGTACATTAAGTTTGGCACTTTGTGGCATTTCATTTTTGTCATTAAGAACATCGCTAAAGAAAATGCAATATATTCAGCAGTGGTACTATGGCATTCTGGAGGGTTGCAATGAACTTTTGCTCTGTCTGTAAAAAGGAAAGTGTTACGTTATTGGTAAATCTACAGAATTGAAGTTATTTAAGAACAGCCTGTCTTAAAAATGTGATTGCCAGAACCAAAGTCTGTGCATAAGCATATAAAGTGCTGACACCAGTTTTTGCACGGTTGCCAGAAAACAGAAAGTAGATGTTATTTTATAATAATCAAAATGTTAATCACAGCAATGCATCAACAGCAGGACTTGTGCTAAAGGAAACTATTCCATGTAACAAAGGTATTTTACACAATACAGAAAGGCAAGTGTTCTCCTGTGGTCACTCCTACCTGAAAAGGGATTCTCGTGACAACCAGATTTCGTTCTGTTTCACCGTCTTCCAGGAGAAGAGCAGCAACAGTAAAGCAAAGAGGGTCAGAATAGTAATGCTCCACTTATTTAACCATGTAGACAGCTTTTTCAGACCATGGACAAAAAGGATGCAGTACCCCATACTGGAAAAAAAAAAAAAAAAGGTACCAAAAGTTACAATCCAGTGCTCTGGTTTATATGCAAGACCATTCAGCATTGCATTTATTACACAATTACAGGGTTTTTTGGACTAATTCTATTTTCCAGGCTAACAAACTCCAATTCAAAAGCAGTTTTCTTCAAGTCACTACACAATTTCCAAATTAATCTAAATGACAGACCCGGATGCCAGAAGTACAGCAACACACATAATACCACCCAGCATAATGGTAGCTTGCACCAGCCTGCGGAAGGCAGCTGCTTTTCTGAAAAGCAAGCTAAGAAAGCTTCACGTAATAACAGTAATACTGAGCACTACTGGAGCAGTGTGGAAGGAAAAAAGCATTTTAACACAGGGAGGTCCCTGAACAACCCCAGTGGTGGTTGCTGTTAATTCTAGTTTATAAATTGTGAGGTTGAGGTGGGGGAGAGTGCTGTAGCCAGTACCACAGCAGGTGGCAGAGGCCACGTCAAAGGCAGGAGACCCTGACTAGCTCTTGCACATCTACATCAGGGCCAGCCCATCCCATCTAGTCCAGAACAGCCCAGATGCACTAGCAGAGCATCCTCTTTGCCCTCCATGGAACCACACACTGTCCTCTCCAGCACCCAACCTCCTAGCACTTTCACAGCTCTCTGTGCATAGCTAGTGAGGCATTTTCTGTGAAAAGAACAGAATTTAGTACTGCAGTCTTATTCCTGTGTAACTTAAAATCAATTCAGTAATTATTTACCTTAATTCAAGTGTTATGTTAATTCTTCCAATGATGCTCCTCTGAATTGGAAATGGAGTGCTTTCCCTTCCTGTTACTTAGTAAGCTGCTAATTCTACTTATTTTTAAAAAGGAATTTCAATTCCTATTGCTCGAGGACTTTTATTATCTTATCTGTAACTCCTTAGTAGAGTTACTTAGCACATGATTTAGTTTTAGACTTAAAAGCTATCTTAGTCCAGGCAGCTCCTCCTGAAGAAAAAAGGGAGCAGAAGGATCTGGAATAACACTTGGAGACCACCAATACATAGGGACAAAAGAGCAGCCCTCCTCAGACACTGGCACACCTTGAACCCCAGCTGAATCCCACACTTGAACCCAGGCAAGCTGGAGGCAGGCAGCTCATTGCACCTGCCTTTGCTCCAGTTGGAGATCCACAGGCTTTCATGGTCTGTACTAAGATGTCCAAGCAACTTCCCGGTTGGGTTGCTTCCCGGTTACCTGCTCTGAGGTAAGAAAAGGTAAGAACACAATTCCTCTGTCACAGAGGTGACCTTGCAAGCAAGCACACAATATGCTGAAAGTCAGTCTGCAAAACAGAGAAAGGAAAACATCTCATCTTTGAGGAGCTGTGAGTGTGCTTCTCAGCACAGTTTCTCTGCCCTCTTGGAGAGCTGGACACATTGCTATTGCCTGGGCTTCCCAAGGATGGAGAGGGATAGTCATTCTTTTACCAAAGAAAAAAGTGGTGCTGTCTCTGGCACAGCACAGGTGCTGCACAGGATGTCAAGAGGGGTATAGACATAAACGGCAAATCCAGAGACAAAATCTGATCTGGCAATCATTCAGAACTTCATTGTTGTCTCAGAACTCTCTCATTTTTCAGAAGCGGGCATAATTATATTTTTTTTCACCTAACTAGGCTTGCGTTTTTCTGCAAAACATTTCTTATGGCACTTGTATTGTTGTTGTTTTTTCCATAAATTATTTTGCACATATTATTGCACCTACACTAACAGCAAGCATTTAGAGCTACAAACCAACATGCTAGTGCCAAATAATCCAGCCTTTATAGCTATTGGACCCTACTTTAAAACCTCTGAAAAGCAAATCTCAGCCTTTCCTTTCCAATAAGAAATACCTCAAAAACCTGCAGACAGTTTTCACTCTGTTATTTTGCCTTTCAGCAATTTCGTCCTTCCCTTGGAATTAATTATCTGACATAAACA